CTGCGTATTAAACTGGTATATGAAAAAGTGTTTTAACCCTGAAAAAATTACACGCATCAGCTTATTAAATACCATGTAAAATGTAAATATTTTTAAAAAATACATTTTATATTAGTTTCTGCTTAAAGGAATCTTTCAGCTGAAAGTTTTCCCAGAATATTTTATTTGGAATATTTAGGTATTATTATGTTGTTTGGACAGGGTATAATTCCCCCCCCTTCTAATAATATAATTTTGATAGCTTTGAATAAAAGCTGTTTGCGTTTTTTTAAATAAAAAAATATTATATTGCTTTCGGCTCAATGTTATTTTAATATAATTTATATACTATGATCATTTTTATTTTATTTTTTACATTTGCAGTATTTATTTTAATTTTAGTTTAAGGTTTGGTCATTCTGTTATGTGCTTTTGTCATTTTTATTATTTTATTATTTAAATTTGTACTCACTTTATTTGTATTTTGAATATTTAGGTATTTTTATTTTTAGGTATTTAGTAATTTATTATTATAATTTTTTTAAATAATATATATATATATTTAATGTATTTATATGGCTGTACATACACATATGTATTTGTTTTTTGGATGGTCAGTATGATCTTTAATGTTTTACTCACCAAGGATGCAATTTCTAAATGAAAAAAATACAGTAAAACAGTAATATTTTTAAAAAATATTATTACAATTTTAAAAAACTGTTTTGTATTGTAATATATGCAAAGCTGAATTACTCCAGTCTTCAGCGTCACATGATCTTCAGAAATCATTCTAATATGCTGATTCGTTGCTCAAGAAACATTTTTTATTTTTAATGTTGAAAACAGTTGTGCTGCTTCATATTTTTGTGGAAATCATGATAAAAGATTTTTTTTGATGAATAGAAAGTTCATAAGACCAGCATTTATTAGAAATTAATGGCCCCAAGGTTTTGAACGGTACTGTAAGTATTGATCTATATGGACAGACAGAAAGTCTGAATTTTGACAAAACCTGAGTAGAAGTGAAACCACATTTAGGTTTTTCTTTTTTAATTACAGCAAAAGGGGAGACTGTTTAATTCTGATAATCTCATAATCAAGCATTATGTTATGACTGGGAGATATTTACACTTTGAAAAGTCTCTATTATATAATAACATTAGTTGATAATCTCATGCTCTCGTAAATCACTGATTGTTTTGGTGGATTTTGTACTACTTTGCAAGGGCAAGAAACAAGTTGCCTCTAAACCAGGCATGACCTCGAGCAATGTCGCAATATTGTGTAGAAACAATGCATAAGCATTTGAGAGGAGTCTGAAAAATTCCCTTGTGTATTACCCATAAACATGCTTGGAAGTCTTGAGTAACTTCAACACACATTGTTTGAATTGTTCACTCAGTCTAATCTAGTTAGAAGAGCTGTCAGCTCATTATTGACCTCGAGGATATCTGTGTGTTATTGAGCGTATTTGTGTCTGTCAGCCCTCTTTGACCTTATTTATTCATCCCGTTCTTTCATATCTCTTCTATTAACCCAAAAGGAATCGTCCCAGACGGGCCGTCAGTGGCCCACCTAGTCTTCTCATTGTCTGACCCTGGCCTCCCCTCCGGTGCATTTGTCACTGCCATCATTGGCTTTCATGGTTCTCCATCTTTCTCTCCGTCATCCCTCCATCTCTATGGCCTCTGATGAGTCTGAGAAGGTGGGCATGAATACACTGAATGTGGGAGTGCTGAGGGTATTAAGGGGGATTTGGGGGATTGAGGGTCATTTACTATTGAGGTACATTAGACATGGTTGGCAATGAAGTGTCTGCCTCACAGTGTCATGCTCCCGGAGCCAAGAGTAAGAGCAACAGTACGCCTGCGGAACCTGCTGCCAGAGAATTCCACAGAAAACTCGACACATTTCCATTTCCATAGAATTCAAATGCATGCCATTCATAAAATTCTACACAGCCCCTCCCCTTGCTGTGACTGATTTTCCTTGTTAACTGGATTTTGAGAGTTTTTGTGTAAATGTTGTTTAAATGTGCAAGTGTGCAATTTTTTGATGCCATTAATAGTATCACCAAGTGGAACTGTAAAAATAAGTACTGTTTTCAAAACAGTTTCGTAAACACTCCCGCTATCTGCTATTGGTGGGACCCAATGATAGCCCCGCCCCCAAACCATGCGATTGGTCGAGGCCGTGTTGCTGTTTAGGATGTGAAGTTTATATTGTTTTGGAGTTAAATCAACTTATGAAGGGCTTACTTTTAGTTGTTTTCTGCGTATTAAACTGGTATATGAAAAAGTGTTTTAACCCTGAAAAAATTACACGCATCAGCTTATTAAATACCATGTAAAATGTAAATATTTTTAAAAAATACATTTTATATTAGTTTCTGCTTAAAGGAATCTTTCAGCTGAAAGTTTTCCCAGAATATTTTATTTGGAATATTTAGGTATTATTATGTTGTTTGGACAGGGTATAATTCCCCCCCCTTCTAATAATATAATTTTGATAGCTTTGAATAAAAGCTGTTTGCGTTTTTTTAAATAAAAAAATATTATATTGCTTTCGGCTCAATGTTATTTTAATATAATTTATATACTATGATCATTTTTATTTTATTTTTTACATTTGCAGTATTTATTTTAATTTTAGTTTAAGGTTTGGTCATTCTGTTATGTGCTTTTGTCATTTTTATTATTTTATTATTTAAATTTGTACTCACTTTATTTGTATTTTGAATATTTAGGTATTTTTATTTTTAGGTATTTAGTAATTTATTATTATAATTTTTTTAAATAATATATATATATATTTAATGTATTTATATGGCTGTACATACACATATGTATTTGTTTTTTGGTGTTTGGCTTAGTGTTATGTTAGAATCATTATTATACTCATACCTTTTGTTCTTTTAATATTTTTGAATTGTTTTTAGCTTTATTATTTTAAATGTTTTACTTTTGAAATGTTGTTGTATGCATTTTAATTTATTTTCTTTTCTTAAATGTGTGTGTGTGTATATATATATATATATATATAGTATTTATAGAGTTTTAGCTTTTAGTTTTAATTACTTTTTCTTATTTGTAAGTCGCTTTGGATAAAAGCGTCTGCTAAATGACTAAAAGTAAAAGTAAAAGTAAAGTAGAAGTATTTCAGTTTTAGTAATTGTAGTGCTTAAACTTATTTCAGGTAGTTTCCAAGGCAGCTTCTTTTAATATTTACAGTTTATTTTAATTTTAGTTTAATTTCAATTGCTGAACATTATTTGCACACACAAAAGGATCACTTTTTGAAAAATTAATGTGAAAAATTGTAACATTCAATATGGCGACTATAGGAATGCCAGAAGGCCAGTAGTTATTTTGATATGGGCTTCCGCTGTTATTTATAATCTTGACACAGTTTTGGAGATGTCAGGCTTTCCTTTTTAAAGTAGTTTTAAAAATGAAAATGGCTCTTTGGGGGTATTTCTAAGATTACTTGAATTTTGTTTTTAAATTATGTAAGTATTTCCATTTGATGCTATCATATGGTATCAAGTGAATCAGTACAAAAATGTGAAAAAGGTGGACCTAGTTACAGATACAGGACATCAGACCACCTCTCTACAGAGTGGCCAGTGTTTGATGTGTGTGTGTTTGCGTAAAACCAATACAGATGCTGCAGTGGTTTCTCTATGACGTGTCAGGAAGTGTAAGTTTAAGTGTGATTGAGCGTGTGTTTGTGTGTTTACTCGAGAACTAACAGGAAGGTTTGTGATAAAGTGAAGCTTTGTATATGTATATATTCTGAGCTTATAAGATCTCAGATGTGTGTTTACACGCTGGGTTTACCTGAGCCTCATGCGCTGTCAAACACCTAATGGAAAAATGAACTGAGTGAACCGTTTTAAGCTTTAGGGAGGTCATCACAGAGAGCCGTTGATTCCCATGACAGGCTGAAAATATATCAAAATCTTTTCTTCAACTTAAAATTAAACTTTTAATGATCTGCTGGCTCATCATCCACAGGCTGACAATTACAGCAAAATCAATGTTATGTTTTAGAATAACATTATGTTGAACCGCTGTGGGTCTTGGAAGTTTACTCTGATGAGAGATGGAGGTTAATTTGATTAGAAAGAGCAAGATTTACACCATCTAACCCATCAGGAGAAGATGAAGCCGTCTCTCTGCACTCTGTCTGCTTACTTGTCTGTTTATCTGTCCGTCTAGCTCATTTGTGTGGATGTCCATCTGCTTTCTTTCTGTTCTTCCAGTTTTTGGTTTATTTTGTTGAATTTACAATTCTGAAGCTTTCAAAAAGTCCATATTTCAAGTCTTTTTTTATTTTAATAACAAGGTGTATTTAATAAGAGTGCATTAATGGCCGCTCACTTTTTCAGTGATTGGTTTCGGAAAAAAAATTTTCATTCATTTTTGAAAAGGTCTTTGTAAAAGTGTTATAATCCATGAAGTAAACCAACCAGCTATGAGGTAAATCACAATATTGCAAACTTTTATTTGAAGCGAAAAAGTATTTGAAAATCAAGCAAAAAGACAAGACTTGATGGCTTTAAGGGAAATAACTACAATCCCTTGAAGCATTGTGAATGACATAATCAAATAAAAAATGAAATGTATAACTATTCAATTAAAGTTGTTGATTATATCTATAAAGCAATGTATTTTACATGTATTGTAAAATATGCATATAGAAATATTTAAGTATTTTGATAGTGTAGGGAGACCGACTCGATAATACCTTTTGCAACGTTTCCTGCAAGCTCTTTTTGTTCTGATTGGTGAATTTTTTTTGTGCAGCATCATGGGTAATGTAGTTTATCTCCACAAATTCTGCTGTTAAACATGATTATTCAAAAAATAAGTTGATGGCTTCAACAAAAGGATATACTGTTGATTAACCTCGTAGCTCACAACAGGTAAAAGTTATTGCTAAAATCAGTTTTCACTTTGGGAGCATGACTGTTGGACTCTGTAACGTGATTAATTTTTCATCTCTCCTCTTCTCAGGACTCTCTCACCGTTTACAAGTACAGGAGTGGTTGTTGCAGTAACCATGACAGCATTGCCGTTCCGGGTCGGACCGCTGCTCTTCTCTGGACTTGTCATCTTCTGCCTCCTCTCTCTGCCTCTCGTCACGTCACAGACGCCATCACTCCAAGCGACCTCTGACCCGGAGTCTGCGCCCTCTCTTCCTGGAGAGTGCCTGAGAAAAATGCACCCCGTTACCTCCTACACAGGTGGGTGTAATATAGCTCACTCTCTCCTGCCCTTTCCATCATCGCATTTGGAGCCAAAGGTTAAAACAATAAGCCTTTGAATCATTTTTTCTCCTCTGAACATCTCGGTAATATTGGTTGAGCTAGTAAAAACGGCAACATAGCCGAACGTCTACATTGCAGCTAGATGAGAAGAGACCATCTAACTGAAACCAGAGATGGTATAGGGAGGATAAAAACAGTCAAATGAATGGGAGAAATCACATTGCTCACTATGATGGTTGTAAATTTCAGTTACAATAGCCTTTTTGAAAAAGACATCACTTTTGTATTTTATTAGCTAGTCCATATTTATTACATATTTATTCATATATATATATATACTGTATATATATATATATATATATATATATATATATATATATATATATAAACAGTAAAGACATTTATAATGTTACAAAGAATTTCCATGTTAAATAAATGCTGTACTGTTGAACTTTCTATTCATCAAAGAATCCTGAAAAAAAGTTTCCTCAAAAATATGAAGCAGCACAACTGTTTCAACATTGATGATTAAAAGAAATGTTTCTTGAATATTAAAGCAGCATGATTTCTGAATGATTTCTGAAGGATCAGGTGACATGAGAAAATTCAGCTTTGCATCACAGGAATAAATTACATTTTACAATATATTCAAATAGAAAATAGCAATTCAAAATTGTAAAATCTTTGACTTTTGAACAATAGTGTAGCTTGATTTAGGCTAAAGAAGTTAATGGCATTGTTTTCATCAGATTTTATTGTTTCTTTGACACGTTATTGAAATATACCCTTGACAAACCTTGTACTAACAGAACTAGAAGATAACTACCAATGCAAAGATGGCCACTAAGTGAACCAACCTGCTTTACAAGGACTTTGTGGACATGCAAAGCAACCAGCCAACTTCATTTGTTAAAAACCTGTGCACTTTGACTCCTGGAAACTGCCTTAAGCTAGTCATTCAGATTAGAGCGGTCTGATTTGAGAGAACTTTTGCCATTTTTGTGTGCAGTATGCATCGGATGGTCCATTAATGGCCTGTTACCGGTCCAGGGTATGTTTTCATCTGAGACTAGTTAACTGCCAGCAGCCTTTCATTGGTGCCTGTCTGAGTTTAACAGTTTTAATCATATGCTGGCCAGATGTTAAAGGTTAATACAGCTGTGTGTACGATCACGCCCTGCAGTTTCTAATATCACACATTAATAGCCACAGTCTGCTCTGATAGTATGCAGGGCTACACTGTAAGTGTTTATATTGTCCTCTATTATATAAGTGTTTTAAGTGAATTGCTGTAGTAGCAGAAGCTGCTGTACACTAAAGACATTAAGGGAGTGATTTTGGCCATCGAGAGAGATTCAGGAGCATTTATTTTTTAAATGTGAGACAGTGAGGGTGTAGTCATCTGTTTTTGGGTGATAACGACCCTGATTTACAGCAAAGCTTGCTTCAGCACTGTTTGGAGAACTAAATGGACTGCATACCCAATGTTTCTTCTCTTCAGCCAAGCTGCTCCTGAAATGCCTGATAATTTCATCATTAGTCACTGTTTTCTTTTTGCCGCTAAAACGTTTTCAGACACACATTTAAAGGTGCTATAAAGGTGAAATAACAATTTCACGCCCTGCAGTTTCTAATATCACACATTAATCGCCACAGTCTGCTCTGATAGTATGCAGGGCTACACTGTAAGTGTTTATATTGTCCTCTATTATATAAGTGTTTTAAGTGAATTGCTGTAGTAGCAGAAGCTGCTGTACACTAAAGACATTAAGAGAGTGATTTTGGCCATCGAGAGAGATTCAGGAGCATTTATTTTTTAAATGTGAGACAGTGAGGGGTAGGCAACTGGTAACACACACACACACACACACACACACACACACAGACAGACAGACAGACAGAAGTACAAGCCCAGCTGAGCCTGCCAAACCTAAAGCATCTCTCTCTGTGTAGGAATCATCTTTTCCGGTTGAGTTTGAGCAACGTCTCTCTCCTGCAGGTAGGATGTCATTTTCTTTCTCTCTTTCTTTCTTTATTCTCCTTCCCATCTGTCCATCCAATCATCTTGACGTCTCTAGAAATGCAGTACCAGCACTGTCCATTTAATTCATCCCATGCCAGATACACACTCAGACTCAGTCTTTATTATGATTGCCCACATGTTCTAAAGTGCTGATGCACAGAAGCAGAAATATCCAACAAATGAAACACACACACACACACACATATTCAGTAGCATCTGATATTGTTGACAGATGTTTGAAAAGCATTGACTTCCAAGACAGCTGCATCATGTTCAGCATCCTGAGTTGAGCTCCTCTCCTCTGAATCTCTTGAAAGGAGGAACCCAAAACAATGTTTGCAAGTTTTTATTTATTTTATTTTGTATTTTTTTCATTAAAAATTAAAATGTCATAATTTGCTCATCCTTCTATAGAGTATGTTTTGTGCATAAGGATCAGATAATGTCTGTTTGGTACCAGAGTTCTAATAATTTTTTTTTATTATAATGTAGCAAAACTAAACTCGGTGCAGAAACGATCTCTGCACTGCTGCAGACGCACCGCTCCTGGAACGCACTGCCGGACCGCAACAGTGTGCAGTGTGCACGATTTATTAATCCGTTAACATGAGTGTGGAAAAAATACGCATCACATTCGCACTGCAAACGGAGTAATGTGAACCTGGCGTTATGTGTGTGCGCTGCAAGTGTGCATGAGCGCACGGTCTCCAGGAGAGCGCGCGAGCACTGAATGGTTAAACACTGGCAAGAATTATAAAGTAATGCAATTTATAAACTTTAGTGACGATGTGACACTGCCTTGATTGTGCAAGTGACAATTCCTGTGTCAACTGTGCAGCGTGCAGCTCGCTTATAGACAGACGCGATGTGGTGATTTGATGACATTGCGTATTTTGAGAGAGAGCGCATGCGGTGATTCACTCACGCTTTTTGTGAAATTACGTCTCACACAAGGTTTTCAAGTTACTTTATAAGTTATTTAATTAAGAAATATGAAGGTGAGTACCTCACCTTCAGCATTATAATTATTTCACCCGCGCCGGACAGAGACTGAGACGGTGCCGCTGCATGTCGTGCCAAACCTTCTCACGGCAGGCACATCATCAGCTTGAGTTTTTTTTAGATCGGCCTTTTTAGAGACGCCGATCAATCATCCCAGAGCGATTATCGGCCGATAGTGATCGGTAGCCGATCAATCGGAGCACCCCTACTTCTATTCATTGAGTATGTTTGGGACCAGGGTAATAATAACATATTTCATTTCGTTTCGTTTCATTTTGTTTCGTTTAATTTTTTAATGTAATACAATTTATTTTATTTTATTTTCAGAACAGAACAATTCGTCACAAAAATGCTAATTCTATCATAGATTGCTCATCCTTGAGAGTATGTTTTGGTGGAAAATGGTTATGGAAAAACTTTCTGACTGTTTTTGGTGCAAGAAATCTTCACTAGCACTGTGGATCAAACAAAGTGTAGAATATGATCCGTTCAATATGCAAACATCTGTATGTTTGTCTGCTGCTGCAGATTGTCTGTGTTTGAGGTGAGGAGCTGCCTGTAGACTGCAATCTCATCTGGGAGTGGGTTTAAATTGGCCTTGTTTGTCTTGAAGGATGATTTGAGACCACCTCTGCACTTAGCATGTAGTGGGAATGCTGAGATTGTGTTGTGCTTGCGTGACAAGCCTGTTGAAAGCTTTGAGCGGTTGTGTGATATTTAAGAGTGACTTCGCTGGCGTTTGTGGAAGACCCTGCTGGTGAACCCTCTAAACATTCACCGTAACCCTGAAAGGGGGTGACGCCTTGGAGGCAGATCTCACAAGAATCTGTCAGAATCCAGTGATTTAAGGTGACCTCATGATCCTGTGTTCACAAGAGTGACCCACAATCACCCCTCGAGCAAACACACACACACACACACGGCAGTATGACAACTTCCTCACTGCGCTACTCTACATCTCTGTTCTAAAAATGTTTTAGAACAGCATATTTGCAGGAACTAAAGATACAATTTTGACCATTTGTTCATCATGAACGAATGTCATTTCCAGCCTGTCTTAAATAATCATTCATGTTATGGTGCAAATGACATTTAAAATAATTTTAAATAAAAAGGCAGATACTTTCACTTTAACTTCATTTTTTTTTCAAAGGTGATTTTAGTCATCTTGGTAAACACCTTAGGAAGTAAGTATGAAAAAGTAATTTGAAAAAAAAAATGTAGGGCCAAGATTGTTGGTTGTGGTAGAAATTATGCTTAAAAAAACAGCTGAAATATGTTTATAGTAGAATTAAAAGTAGAATTAAAAATGTCATTATTCATATTTGTATGATGGATTTTAATATTTTAAGATTCTGATTCTAGGACAAGGTAATAATAAAAGCAATACATATTTTAATTTAATTTTTATTTTACTTTACTTTACTTTACTTTACTTTACTTTACTTTACTCCATGGGACATTAAAGTGCCTGAGGTAATGCTCGGATATGAAAAATGAGAAATATCCAATGATATGAAGACCTTAACTGCTTAAAATAATTTTTTTTTAAAAAGCTGCATTGAAGCTGTGTGTAATTTCTCAGCCATTAGCATCACAAAATGGAGTAATGGCTGTTTTCAAACGGGTTTCCTGAAAGCTCACTTCGTATTTTATCAGTGAAACATACAGAACTCACTTCATTGGCTACTCCAGACAGTGAGATTCAGCAAAGTTACACACATCAGCCATGTCAGTAAATGAAAGATATCTGTTGCATCTCATGTCAATGATTTATTATATCTGTCTTGAAATCGTTCTAGTTTAATGATGGTTCTGCGTCAGGAACAGGCCGCAGAGAGAGATAGAGAGGGCAGATAAGAGTGTTTTAGCTGAGGTTAAATGATCGTGCCTGGATGAGCAGATCTTGAGTGTGTTGGAGAAAAAACACAACCCCACAACCTCCAGAGGTGACACAAGTCTGACCCCTCTAGATCATTCAGGGTGAGTCCTGCTCTTCAAATGAAAGCGTCTTTCACGTGTTGTTCAGTGACTGACTGCAGAGGCACGGCTAGATTGATGATTGCTTTCTAAACCCTTGCGCTCTCTTTGTTTCTCTGTCTTTTTATTAAACAAGCAGCATGAAATGTAGTTTGCAAAAGTCAAGTGAACAGATGCAGTTTGTCTTAACGTGTGTAATCAGCTCCGTTTGTAGATGAGTGTGTGCTCATCAGAAGCGCCTGCTGCTTTTCAAGAGTGCAGAAGCACGGATGTCACTTATCAATCGCAAAATATGCACTACAATCCATGCACTCTTTTTATGTTATGTATGCAATGTTGCTCCTAAAACTTCTCAAACTACCACTAAACAGCAAATACAGTTAAGGAAAATAATTGATCGTGCTCAGAACTGCATTTTTACAATATTTACAAATAGCAGCAGGAACAAGATTATGTTTTTAAATTTCAGGCTGTCAGTCATGTATATCACTTCTGTTATTGCCTGTTTGTTGCATAATTGAAACCAATGAACATCAGTCTTTGCTCCATTAAAGTCAAAGCTCCATCAAAATAAACTCTTAAAATTTTAATGGTGCTCTTTATCATAATGCGTCTGGGAATTTTAGTTTTTTGTAATTCTCTTTTTTTGGTGACTCTCATTACTGTAATAAAGCTCCTATATTATAGTAAAAAATACTGTAGTACAATGAAATATGACATTTAAAGCAGCATAAATTCAATGCAGTACAACAAATACAGAAATAAAATAAACTCTTACAATTTTAATGGGGCTCTTTATCATAATGCATTTATTTGAAACGGAAGTCTTTTAAAACTTCATAAAAGACTTTACTGTCACTTTTGATCAATTTAATGTGCCCTTGATCAATAAAATTATTATTATTATTTTTTTAAATCTTTAAGAAATGTAAAAAAAAAAATCTTACTGACCTCAAACCTTTGAACTGTATAGTGCATATTTAGATTTTAGGGTGAAGTTTGGCCCAGTCCAACCTAATGTGTGATGTGTGAGTTTAATAGTCTAGATCTGGCTGTGATTATCATTGTCATAAAACTTCCCCCGGCACAGACGTTAATCTGGGAGGAGCTCTGTGTTTTATCTGTGACCTTTCCACACCTCTCACTCCATTCAGGCTCTGCTGGGATCCTCACAGTTCTCCAGCTGATGCCTTCAGGAAGGGTCACGTCCAATACAAAATCATGCTTTATTATTTCATTCTATAGTGTGTGTGTGTGTGTGTGTGTGAGAGACTCTGGTCTGCATCATTATTTTCAAGCCAAATGACAACACAGATAAACATGACAAAGCAGCCTGTGAAAGGAGAGGGAGGGACAAAGAACAAAACAGGAAGAACGTCTAAAACGAGTGAAACGGCACATTCAATGGTTTTCGTTTCAGATAAGAGAAACAATGCGATTAGGACAAACCATCCAGTGTTCCCTAATTAAATGTCACACAGCTGCTTTGCTTCACGTGCAGCGAAACTCTCCGTCTCCGACTCTTTTTGTCTTGTATTATTGTGTGTTTTGTACCTTCTTCACGTTAAGGAAAGAAGCTGAGTGAATGGAATGGGATTGAATGACTGAATATCTTTCATAGTTTTAGTTCATTAACTACTTCTGCCTCCTAATCATAATAACGAGAAAAGTTTAGGTTTGTTGTCATGGCTTCTTAAAGGGGTCATATAATGCGATTTCAATTTTTCCTTTCTCTTTGGAGTGTTACAAGCTCTTGGTGCATAAAGAAGATCTGTAAAGTTGCAAAGACTAAAGTCTCAAATCCAAAGAGATATTCTTTATAAAAGTTAAGAGTCAATCACGCCTACCTAAAACGGCTCATTCTAACACGACCCCACATACATATCTACGGCAATATGTGGAAATATTAGCATAATGCGCCCAATTGTGCACGCAAAGAAAGAAGGCGTGGTTTCAGGAACAGCAGTAGTGTTGACGCAGCATGTCAGGGAGACGCTGTGTGTTTCTGGGTGAAAGCAAAAGCACTTTATTTGGCCTTCCGGAAGTAGATGCAATTAGGAATCATTGGTTAAGATTTATTTACAACAGAACAGTGTGAGTGTTTTTGAGTGTGTTTGTGAGTGTGTGTGAGTGTGAGTGTGTGTGTGTGTGTGTGTGAGGGGAACAGGGTCGCATCACAGGAGAGTGAACTGCCTGTCAGAAATCATAGCACGTCCGCTGTCTTTACTCGCGGCTTGTGTACTGCATCATCACTGTGTCTGTCACGCGACTCTGTTGCCCTTTCGGGCTTGAACTGATGGTAAAACTAACAACATTATTAACTGTCTTGATATTTACTTTGAAAGATGAAGCTCGCGATTATGGTAAGGGGCGTTACATTTCCGACGCGTGCTTGTGGTGTTCGGCCAATCACAATGCACTGGGTCAGCTGGCCAATCAGAGCAGACTGCGCTTGTCAAAGGAGGGGGCTTTGTTGAAAACGACATGTTTGAGAGAGGCGGGGCATAGACGACCTACAATCATGTACAGTATTTGAAAAATAATATCACAGAAATAGTTTGTTTGGACAGTTTGTTTAAATGAACTGGTTGAAGTGAACAATTGACAGAGTTGTTTGAATCATCAGTTAACGGTAGTCTCTGTGTGACCTTTTATAATTTTTGCTGTGAACTAAATATTTAAATACTGTTGTTTATGATTCTGACATCACCGTTTTACTCGCTACCAAGGTTCTTACAGCTGAGTGATGAACGTGTTGTGAATCAGTCAGTCGAATCATTAAAATGATTCCTTTGCAAATCTGAAAACTGGGAAGCTTGACTTGTAAATATGTCTTGCATCTGAAACACTCTCTATGTAGTCTGGACTATAGACAGGCAAAGCGGCATTTCTGCCTTGAGTTATGAGTGTAATAGTGTGAGTTGTACCATTGCTACAAAAAATACTAATATTCTGTGTCTGCAGAAACAGTCAGATGTATTCGACATGTTGAAGTGCTGTACTAAAAGTAAAAAAAGTTGACTTAAAATAAATGTAACAGTAAATAAAACTGAAATAAAAAAAATATAAAAATAAATAAATATAATAATAAAAAACTAAAATAAAGAAAAAAAAACATTTCTAATTTTCATTTAGTTTAACTTCTAGACATTTAGTATACTGTCTATTTATATGACATATATAAAAAAACGAATAAAAATTACACTAAAATAAAAACACAACAAAATGACTGAAACATTAACTAACATAAAATGAAAACAAAATATACAAAAACGAATTAAAAATATGAATCAAATCTATAATAGTTGATTCTAAAATAACACTACTTAAATAAAAATGACTAAATAGTGTTAACGCATTAAAAAACAATAATAGAAATGACAAAAACGCAACAAATTTACTAAAACTTTAAGTAAAATTGTAATTAAAACAGAAAAAAAATTCAAAATATGTAAAAAAAAAAAGAACACTGGTTCATGCTTTTCAGATGTTGGTCTAAGGTTACGTGACAAGCAGGTAAACAATATCTAAAAAACAAAAAAGCTTTTTGAATTATTTTAAAATTATTTAATTATTTTGATTAATTCTTAGTTTTTCATCAGCTCATGAACCCCCTGCAGTTCCCTCATGAATCCCAGAGTTAAAGGATGCATGTAAATTTTAGCAGGCAAGTGTCTTGATAACTTAACTTCTAGCCCTGATGTTAATTGGCTGTTAATTGCAGGCCACAGAATGGGGAGTAGACGAGAGCACCAGGAGGTCCTGCCAGAGCAAAGGAAAGACAGAGGTGAGAGATGAACGCTGGGATGCGCTCTGTGAATGAGTGTTTGCTATAGAGTGCCTCAGTAGGGTTCTGGAAGTAAACTGTAATGTGAGTGAATGAAATGTTTCTTCTCTCTCAGGATGAGTGTCAGAACTATGTCCGTGTCCTCCTGTTGAACGGCAGTCGTCTTTTCACCTGCGGCACTAATGCTTTCATGCCCATGTGTACGACTCGCCCTGTTACGGACATCTCCAGCGTCCTGGAGTCCATCGGCGGGGTGGCCCGCTGTCCCTACGACCCTCGACACAACTCTACAGCAATGATAACTGAGAGTGGAGAAGTCTACGCGGCCACAGTGACGGATTTCTCCAGCCGCGACCCTATTATTTACCGCAGTCTGGGGAACATGCCGCCCCTGCGGACCGCACAGTACAACTCCAAATGGCTCAATGGTACAGCGGGACAACACACAACTTATCAATGAATCTGAAAAATCCTGAAAAAATAATATGTTTAGGTCATATTTTACATTAAAATCTAAATAACACCTGTATATTAAATTACATTTTGTTTAAAGAAAATCTAGCATATTTTAGAACCTTTATGATTTATTTTTTTTGCATTATAACATAATTTTCATGACAATTAAGCTCATTTTGAGCTATATTCTCATTACTGAAAACATAATGATAATTTAATTGTATTTTTTTATTTATACATCATTGTACTATTTGTTTTACTTACCTTAATTTATACATTAATATTTGTCAATTAAAAAAACCCAACTTATTATTGCATATAATGAAGTATCAAAATATTGTGTTCGAAAATTAAACACAAACACAACAGTTAAACATCTGGATATTGTTTATGATTTAAAAATGCATTAAATCATTACAACATATTTTTACTGTGATAACATTTATTTAAAAAAAAACATTATATTAGCTTATTTTATTCATGCGGCAATGCTGTATAAGAAAATTCAACAATGAAACATGACAAAAATTAAATAAACTCAAAAGTTAAGTTAAGTTAAGTAAAAAAAAGTTATTTAAAAAAACATTTTTACTGTGATAAAAAAATATTTTAAATGAAAACAAATCATTAAAATTGTTGCAGTATATATTGTATTTTTCACTGTGATAAAAAAATGTATTACAGTGATGAGAATCACCACTGAGAATGAAAAATGTAAAGAATTTTGAGGGAAATAATATCATAATTCAAACATCCTAATAGTCTTAAATATTCTTCAATTTCTTTACATAAAACTTCTTTTTCCTTCTGATTTTGGTGTGAAAAGTGACCTGGCCATGTTTTTGTGATTCACCCTTATATTTAGATCTATTTATTGAAATAATTATCTTTAAGGAATTATATTTTGTCATGTCAAACCACACCGCTGTCAGTGAAAGTAAGACAACCATGTTCTTCCTTCCCTTCCACTCTACAGAACCTCACTTTGTTTCTGCATACGAGGCGGGCCGCTTCACGTATCTCTTTCTGAGAGAGAACGCAGTAGAACAGGACTGTGGGAAGATGGTGTTCTCTCGTGTGGCGCGCGTGTGTCAGAATGACATTGGTGGTCGTTTCCTGCTGGAAGACACATGAGTTTGGAATAATTAAGTTTTTAATGTTTTTGAAATATGTGTCTTCTGCTCAGCAAGGTTGCATTTATTTAATCAAAAATACAGTAAAAACAGTAATATTGTGAAATATTATTACAATTTATAATATTTGTTTTCTATGTGAATATATGTTAAAATGTAATTTATTCCTGTGATGTAAAGCTGAATTTTCAGCATCATTGCTCCAGTCTTCAGTGTCACATGATCCTTCAGAAATCATTCTAATGTACTGATTTGCTGCTCAAGATATATTTATTATTATTATAAATGTTGAAAACAGGTGGAGACAGTGATACACTACCATTCAAATATTTGGGATAATAAAAAAAACAACAACAACAAAAAAAACGAATACTTTTATTGAGCAAAGTTACATTAAAAGTAACAGTAAAGACATTATTAATGTTACAAATGATTTCTTTTTCAAGTAAATGCTGTTTTTGAACTTTGTATTCATCAGAGAATCCTGAAAAAAAAAATTGTATCATAGTTTCCTGTATTGTATCAACTGTTTTCAACATTGATGATAATAATAAGAAATGTTTTTGAGACTGGAGTAATGATGCTGAAAATTCAGCTTTGCATCACAGGAATAAAATACAATTTGCAATATATTCAAATAGAAAACTGTTCTTTTTAATTGTAATAATATTTCACAATAATACTGTTTTTACAGAAGCCTTGGAGAGAATTACCAACCCTCTTTTGCCATAAAAAAAAAAATAATGTCAGGATGTACTAAAGACACACAGTGAAAAATCAGTGATGAAAAGGCATGGACACAGTTATTTTTGCAGGTGACCTTATTGCAAATGCATTTGTAGGAGTTTCAGAAGCAACATTTGTGTTAGGAGAATATTACAATCAGTCATGCAAGGTGATTTACTAAGGTTGACGCTAATCAGTTGACTGCTATTTCTGCCATTATTTAACTTTCAAAAAAGCATCTGAACCCATTTTGTGCTTGACATGGCTGTGATAGTTGCTAATTTGCTTGGTAGATTGCGTTGGCCATTATGGAAAGGATCTGGCTGTGTCTGTGTTCTTTAATTTGCCCTTTGTCAGTTAATCACCAGCAGAACTTTTCCCTCCCATTGGTGCTTTTACGGGATTGCGGTCTACGCTAAATTGCCCCGTTTAGTAAATCTAGCCCTTTCTCACCCTTAACTTTTGAACACTACTGTTTTTCTATTAAGATGTTGAATGTTCAGCACCTCACCATCCTTCACTTCTTCCTCTCATTTCTCTTCACAGGAACAGCATTGCTGCGTCAGCGGTGTGTGCGTTTAACCTCAGTGCCATCACGCAGGCCTTTAACGGACCCTTTCGTTATCAGGAGAACCCTCGGACCAGCTGGCTTTCCACTCCCAACCCCATCCCAAATTTTCAGGTGAAGGAAATGAACTGCTGCAGCTTCCATTTCAAAGCATTTTACTTTTACCCTGAAGCCAACTCACAATTCTATTCAAGACATTTGGCAGCAAATGCATTAGTCAGTTCGATTTAGATTTACTGTTTCTCTAACGTGCCGTTCCTCATCACCTATCTCTGGCTGTAATGTCCTCTTTCTCTGTGCCAGTGCGGGACAGTGAATGATTCGGGTCCGGGTGGTAATCTAACAGAACGCAGTCTTCAAGACGCCCAGCGGCTCTTTCTCATGAGCGAGGTGGTTCAGCCCATCTCCACGGATCCTCTGGTCATGCAAGACAACATCCGTTTCTCCAGACTGGCTGTGGACATTGTTCAGGGAAGAGACACGCTCTACCACGTCATGTACATCGGCACAGGTCAGGAAGGAAGAGAGTTTGACATTCAACACTTTTGTCCTCCAGTGTTGTGCAATGTGGTTCTAATAGTTTTCTTTCATTGACCAATCAGAGTACGGCACCATCATCAAAGCCTTATCCACAACTAATAAGAGTCTGCTCGGATGTTACTTGGAGGAGATGAGCATTCTCCCAGAAAACATGCAGGAGCCAATCCTGAACCTGCAGATTCTGCACAGCGATAGGTCGCTTTTCGTGGGACTTCCCAGCAGAGTGCTGAAGATCCCTCTGGAGAGATGCTCCAACTACAAAACCGAACAGTGAGTCGCACGCATGCACACGTGTCAACTAGGACAGGCACATTAGTCAACTACTAAAACGTCATTTTTGATTAGTAATATACATTGCTAAGAACTTTATTTGGACAGCTTTAAAGGTGATTTTCTCAATATTTAGATTTTTTTGGCACCCTCAGATTCCAGGTTTTCAAATAGTTGCATCTCGGACAAATATTGTCCTATCCTAACAAACCATACATCAATGGAAAGCTTATTTATCCAGATTTCAGATGATCTATAAATCTCAATTTTGAAAAGTTGACCCTTATGACTGGTTTTGTGGTCCAGGGTCACATTTATGATTATCAGTGTTGAAAACGGTTGTACTGCTTAATATTTTTTGTGAACTGTCATACATTTTCTTCCAGGAAGTTTGTAACATTATTAATGTATTTACTGTCACGTTTGATCAATTTACTGCATCCTTGCTTAATAAAAGTATGAACTAGTTTAAAAAAAAAATCATACTGACCCTAAACTTTTGAATGGTAGATTCCTGAGAAATATGATAGGCTACTATAAGACTGAAAAAATGGCAGTGATTTCTTTGGTGCTGAATGCAGCAAGATTTTCAATTCCCACATCTTGAAGAATAATTGTGTCGGGAGTCGTTGACAACAGACTCGTGAGGTCAGAACGTCCTAACCATGAACATGATTGAACTGTCACATTCACATAGTATCAGTACAGAACTTCCAGATCCCATTTGTCACCATCATCACCACAATGAGTACCTGTTCACACATGACATCAAAATGCACAGTTGCTGTTAAATTACAGCAAAGGCTGATTACGGCACATGTCCTTGCTAGATGCCCTTGGAGTCAGACAGGAGATGAAGTGAATGACAGTACTTATGAGCAGTCACAGATATTATTATCTCATAAATTCTCCGAGAGGAGGCCGAATGATGAACTAGGTCATTTAAAAAAAATTGCTGTCGTGTTCTCCATCGCTGCTATGAATAGAACACCTATAAATTCTCGAACATCATTAAAAATATATAATGCATGCATCACTCCTCGCAGGAAGCGACTGCATTTACTTTAGAGATGTAATTAGATTTCAAATTCATAAAATAATGGCATCCAAATGGATGAAATGGGCTTCAGAGCTGGATTTGTAAGAGCTTTGTGCAATTCTGTAACCTAATACTTGGTAAATTGAGTTATAAAATCAAGCCAAACATATTTTTGATCTGCTAAATGACTTCAAGCTCCACATGACACCGTATTTAAAATGCACCTTGTGTTATAATAGAGATGTTTGTTTTTCGTCTTCTTGTCACATCAGAAGATATTTTCCATGTGATCTGTCAGTTTAGAGGCACATATGTGACCCTGGAGCACAAAACCAGTCTTAAGTCGCTGGGGTATATTTGTAGCAATAGCCAAAAATGCATTGTATGGGTCAAAATTAACGATTTTTCTTTTATGCCAAAAATCATTAGGATATTAAGTAAAGATTATGTTCCATGAAGATATTTTGTAAATTTCCTACCGTAAATATATCAAAACTTAATTTTTGATTAGTAATATGCATTGCTAAGAACTTCATTTGGACAACTTTAAAGATGATTTTCTCAATATTTTGATTGTTTTGCACCCTCAGATTCCAGATTTTCAAATAGTTGTATCTCGGCCAAATATTATCCTATCCTAACAAACCATACATCAATGGAAAGCTTGTTTATTCAGCTGATGTATAAATCTCAATTTCGAAAAATTGACCCTTAAGACTGGTTTTGTCGTCCAGGGTCACATATGTGGTTATGATTCGAGGGTGTCGGTAGTTACTTTAGAAGTAGAAGATTGTCTTTATATGGGGAATGTGATCTATTGAAGACTCTCCCTGACTTCCTGCCGCAGATGTTGTTGCACAAACACTCGGAGCTACACGAGGCGGACACATTTGATGTTAGAGGCTGTTATGGGACAGGATGGAACTGTGTGTGTGAAGCCGCTCTGTGTTTAGCATGCCAATGCAATGGAAAGAAGTCATTTCATTACATATTCTCCCCCACGCACACGTACACACAGGTAGCAAAAGGTCAGATCTCACAAGATGTTGCAAATAACTCTAATTATTTTAAACCAGTTCTCATCTGTAGAGTTTGATTGAGCTGCAAGCATTATAATTTTATGTAACCTTTAATGTATTCAAATGTATTCTCTTTCTGCATCTCCAGCACATTTGCAGTTTTCTAATGTTGCCGGTGTTTAGTTGTTAGTGGGACGCTGAGACACATTGTTATATTTGATTTGGTTGTAAAATATGAGTATATACAATGCCGTTCAAAAGTTTGGGGTCGGCTTACCAGGGCTGTATTTATTTGATTAGAAATAAAGTAATGTTGTGAAATATTATCGGCATTTAAAATAACTTACATTTTTTAAAATGTAATTTATTCCTGTGATCAATGCTGAATTTTCAGCATCATTTCTCCAGTCTACAGAGTCACATGATCCTCCAGAAATCATTCTAATATGCTGATTTGATGCTCAAGAAACATTTTTATTATTAAGATATAGAAAACAGGTTTACTGATTAATACTTTTGTGGAAATCTGGATACTTTTTTCAGGATTATTTGATGAATAGGAAGTTCAAAAGAACAGCATTTATTTGAAACCGAAACCTTTGTTACATTACTTATGAATGTCTTTACTGTAAATGTTAATCAATTAAATCATTTAATTCTGAGTAACTTTTGAACCTTTTGAACACTTTTTTATATATGATTGTATGCTTGTGCTTGTAATATACTGGTAACTTACATTGTTTGCTTTTTCAAACTTTGTCCTTCTGAAGAATGACATCCTTAAAACAATGAAATATGCTCCTGAATTAATAACACAGTCTCGCTCCACTGAACCTAAAGGACACAAGGAGAAAATGATAAGTCTCTTAGCTGTAATAAATCACAGAGGTTCTGTCAGATGTTATTTATCTCCCAGAGCAGGATTTGAGGTTTATTGTGTCTTCTCTGTAGTTCCTGTAAGTCAGATCATATCATGTTCTGATCAGATGCTTAGATTATATTTACACTTCAGCTCAGTCTCTGACTTTGATCTCAATATAACAAAAGTGATGTTTATATTATAGACCAAATTTGCTAAATATTCATTTGAGATTCAGTGTACAGTGTGAGAAGGACAGTATTAGTTTTAATATTTATTGCACTGAGATTTATTCCTCAGTTATTAAGCCCGATCTCTCCTCTCCTTTCTCTCTCTGCTCATTAAGAAGTTCTCATGAGCAGACAGGACACTCTTTATGGTGGTATTTATTAAGACCTTGTCATTGATGATCTTGTGATCGTAGGGACTGTCTGGGTGCCAGGGATCCGTACTGCGGCTGGGACCGGAGACAGAAGCGCTGTACGACGATTGAGGACAGTTCCAACATGAGCCAGTGGAGTCAAGACATCACAAAGTGCCCTGTAAGACACACTTTCAGACAACATCATCACACAGAAAAGAAAAATCACAAATTACATCTCTTTAATATCTCAGGTGTTTCTTCAACACAGCAGTGAGATTAAATGGACAGTAAATTAATTAATTCATGATTAAGTCTCCTGTAACTTAATTATTATCTTGAGCAAAATACCCTCTGTTCTGTTCTGTATTCAATTTTATTATTTTCTATACAAATATATAATTTTCTGTTCTATTCTATTCTATTCTGTTCTGTTCTATTGTTCTGTTATATTCTGCTTTGGTATATTCTGTACTCAATTATTCTATACTAATTACCTTTTTCTGTTCTATTCTAATCTATTCTATTCTGTATTGTATGCTTGTATTCTGTTCTGTTCTGTTGTATTCCATTCTGTTCTGTTCTGTTTTATTCTCTTCTAAATTCTGTTCTATTCTATACGCTGCTATTATTTTTTTATGTTCTATTCTATTCTATACACTGCTATTCTTTTTTGTTCTGTTCTACTCTGTGCTTTTATTTTTTATGTTCTATTGAATTTGATTCTGTTCTGTTTTATTCTATTCTATTATGTTCTATTCTGTACGCTTATATTCTGTTCTGTTCAATTCTGTTCTGTATTCTGTTTTATTCTTTTCTATACTAATATATTATTTCTGTTCTGTTCTATTCTGTTTCGTTCTGTTCTATTGTTATATTCTGTTTTCTATTCTGTATTCATTTATTTTCTATACTAATCTATAATTTTCTGTTCTGTTTCATTCAGTTCTATTCTATTCTGTTCTGTATTGTTCTGTTCTGTTGTATTCGATTCTGTTCTATTTTCTACTCTGCTGTTATGTTTTGTTCTTTCTATTCTGTTCGATATTCTGTTCTACTGTATACGCTGCAATTATTTTTTGTTCTGTTCTATATTCTATTTTCTATACTAATCTGTTTTTTTCTATTTTGTTTTAGTTGATTCTGTTCTGTTTCGTTGTATATGTTTGTTTTATTCTATTCTGCATTACTCTAGTCTGTTCTATTACAGTCTTTTCGGTTCTATGTCGTGTTCTCTTCTGTACTCTGCTGTTTACTGTTCTGTTCTGTTCTATTTTATATGTTTCTCTTCTGTTCTATACACTTCTATTATTTTCTGTTCTATCCTGTTCTGTTCTATATTCTGTTTTATTCTATTCTGTTAATTCTGTTCTACTCTACATTCTTGTCCTGTTCTATTCTGCTATATATTCTCTTCTGTTCTATACACTTCTTTTCTGTTCTATATTTTGTTTTATTCTATTCTGTTAATTCTGTTCTACTCTACATTGTTCTGTTCTATTTTATTCTGGTCTGGTCTGTTCTGTTCTGTTCTACGAACATTATTTAAGAGCTTCTGTGGTGAAGATACATAACAACTTATTTTATTTGAGTACACCAGAAATCTTGTATGATTTTTGAGTTGGTCTTGAAGAATCAAATTTCTGATGAAGAGCCTTGAAACTGAACCCTGGAAACTGAAGCTTATCTGAACCCTTCGTCTGACACTGTCAATTACACGCTGGTGTTCTGCACGAAGGCTGGCCAATGTCATTCCTGTTCCTTCTTGACACTTCATTAGGTCCATAATTAGACATCACAAATTTCCTATTATCTCTGATGGTTGATATCCTCTGAGGAGCAATAATAAACAAACCTCATTTTCTACAACACTGTGGAAGCATTGGCTTTGTCCCAAGTTGCATACTAATACTATACATTAAAAGTACTTGCTATTATGCTAATAGGCAAAAACTAAGCGTTAGCGTTAGTTCTGGCAGGTCACGTGAGTCAAGCTTGCATCAGCTGATTCTCAGCTGATCACATTTACCTATAGGAATACGACACCTATCGCAGCATTCCTATATAAGCTCTATTCAGTATTATTCAGCAGCTTTTCAGCTTGCTCAGGAGCAAATTACCCTCCTCCTCCATCCCCAGCTCCTCCTTTCGCCACAGTCAGAACTTGGCTTTCTGATATTCCTTGCTAATCAGACTCCTTTATCTTGAATAAAGTGTTACACTTAAATATCATTAAGTACATTAATTATATCTGCCTTGTTCTGTTCTATTAACCCTTGGGGGGGTATTATTGCTGCTCTCCCTGCTCATTCATGACAGGCTGCATGGATGGGCAGGGAGTTTTTTTGCCCAGAACAGAACCATACCGCCAAACCAAACTTTATGCTAAGTATCTATCATTTTGACGATAGTGGTCCTGACAGAACCAGTTGTTTCTATTGTAATGGATTTATGCTGTGACAGTGAGTAAGAGTGTTTTTCCCAAACTTTTGCAGAATGAGCGTTGGCTCCATAGTTATGGCGTAAATCAACACTAAGTTACAACATGTACAGTATGCACTGCTAAATATTTGTGATTCACAACATGAAACATACAAACAAAATATTTACATAAGATTCTAGTCAGAAATGACATTGGATAATATAGGCAAGGCAAGGCAAGTTTATTTATATAGCACATTTCATACACAATGGCAATTCAAAGTGCTTTACATAAAAGAAAAGAAAAAAATAATCACAACAATAAAACAAGGAATTTAAAAACTTTGAAAATGATTAAAAAATTGATTTAAGAGGTTTAAAATGAATTTAAGAAAACGATTATGCATAAAATATAGTGCAATCAGTTCGGACATCGCACAGTGCTCATTCAATAAATGCACAGCTAAACAGATGAGTTTTGAGTCTGCATTTAAATGTGACTAATGTTTTAGCACATCTGATCTCTTCTGGAAGCTGATTCCAACTGCGGGTGGCATAATAACTAAAAGCACATTCCCCTTGTTTTGTGTGAACCCTTGGTATTTCTAACTGACTCGATCCTAATGATCTGAGTGGTCTGTTAGGTTTATATTCAGTGAACATATCTGCTATGTATTTAGGTCCTAGGCCATTGAGTGATTTATAAATGAGTAAAAGTACTTTAAAATAATTCCTAAATATAACTGGAAGCCAGTGTAAGGACCTGAGGACTGGTGTGATATGCTCAGATTTTCTGGTTCTAGTCAGAATTCTGGCAGCAGCGTTCTGGATGAGCTGCAGCTGTCTAATGGTCTTCTTGGGAAGGCCGGTGAGGAGACCATTACAATAGTCCACCCTGCTGGTCATAAAGGCATGAACAAGTTTCTCCAAGTCTTGACTGGAAACAAAACCTCTAATTCTTGCAATGTTTTTGAGATGATAGTATGCTGATTTAGTTACAGCTTTGACATTACTACTGAAACTAAGGTCTGTCTCCAGAATCACACCAAGATTCCTGACTTGATTTTTAGTTGTTAGACCCCTAGAGTCAAGGTATGCATTCACCTTGAGAACTTCATCTTTGTTTCCAAATGCAATGACTTCAGTTTTTTCCTTGTTTTAACTGAAGAAAGTTCTCGCACATCCAACTGTTAATTTCATCAATGCATTGGCAGAGGGAGTCAATGGGGCTGTAGTCCAGCTGTATAGTGGACTGTTTAGATTGCATTGGAGTTCATGTTTTGCGCAAAAGACTCTCGTTTAGACTTATTTAATGATGTCGACATTTACATTTTAAGAGAAATAACGTTATGTGAATAACCTTCATCAAGTGGGTGTTGTGCTGCTACTATCTCAATAAATCACACTTTTGTGTATAAACTGTAATAGCTGTTACTGTATTATATATAGTTATGGTAACTTTGTACAATAAGGTTCTATACATTAATATTAGTATTTGTATTATTAATATTAATGTATCTAGTGTTATGAATTAAAAATGGTCAATATTTTTACAGCATTTAATCTTTATAAATATTCATTTATATTTTATTGTTCGTTGTTAGTTCATCATGCAAAAAATATTCACATATGCACACATTAACATTATCCAAGCTAATTTCTGTAAATTATTGTTTGTTGTGCTAATGAATGCAAACTTATGCAAGCTTATTTATTGCCATGATTAATTTGACATAGGTTTCTGGATAATATTTACATATGTAAATATACTATTTTTGACTAATCATTTAACGTTTTCTTTTTTGTGTCTCATTGGGAATTTTAACTATTCCTACGTAAAATGCAAAATAAATAAATAAATAAAAACAATAAAAATAAATGAAGAAACATCATCCAACTAAACTAAAATCCATAGCATTTCGACACTACATCTGTTTACAGTTTTAAAGGCTGCATGTTGGATCAGTAATGGCAAACATCATGTTATGTGACAATACTACTTACAACCTCATTGCTACGTTTTTGGCTCGTCTTACTAATTAAGTGCCAAGTTAAGTACAGACTAACTAACAGTTAGCAGAGCTGCTGATTCCTTGAACTTCCTCCTCATTGATTGGCTGAAGCTGAGGATCAAAGGAACCTGAAAGGGAGTGAATTCATAGAAGGGCAAACTGATGAGCATTACATTAACGATTTTTGTCATGCAGCAGGGAAAAGCCCCCAGTTGACCTTTTTTTGATTCTTGAAGTACAGTGAAAGTTGATGCAGGTCTCGAAATTTCTTTTGCTATTAATTTTAATAATATTTGAGCGCTTCTGTGGTCTGAACTATTGGATGAATGGCATTGAGTTACTAATCCAGACTCACAGTAGATGTTGGTATTCACCTCAATGGATGCGCCGCACATCTGCTCCCTGAAGATTACCCATGCATGGAGAGGAATTTTACAGTTTTTATCCTCAGTACCTGTGCAATACATGAACCAGCTTCAAATGCAAACGGACACACGGGAGGAACTTTTGAATGGATTTAATTGATTTTGAATGAGATCATGTATGTGGAGACTTGGATAACTGCAGAAAAATTTCACTTTGTGACTTCTGATTGCAACATTTTGTCTTCAAATAAGGCATGAATACTATTACCAACATGTTAGTAATATGCATGCTAATAAGCAACTAGTTAATAGTAAGAATTGGTGCTTAAAATAAAGTGTTACCTTCTGAAGTTGTCTATAAAAGAGAGTTGGAATCTGTACACTAAAAGGGTTTATGCTGAATGAAGTTTGAAAACAAGTACAAAAATGATTTTCCATGCAAACACTAAACCTGTACTTAAAACTTGCCTTGTTTGCATTTACATTTATAGGAGCGGAACCTCACCCAGGATGGTGGATTTGGCCAGTGGTCACCATGGCAGGCTTGTAACCATGACGACGGAGGTGAAGGCACCAGCACATGTCAGTGTCGCAAACGGGCCTGCGATAACCCTCGACCCCAGTGTGGAGGGATGGAGTGTGTCGGGGCGAACATTGAGGTGGCCAACTGCTCCAGGTACACCTACTGTATAAACCCATACACTTGTTAAAGGAAACTAACCATGCATGATAAAGTTCAAATATGGCAAAACACCATAACAGTAGTTCATACGACTTGTGTGCGATATTCCAAGTCACGTGATAGCTTTGTGCGAGGATCAAGCTGTTATTTATGTCACTGACAATTTTCTCCACTGATGTAGATCTCAAATCCCATCCGCACTTGACACGTTGTGATTGGTTACCAGACACATAAGAACCAAGTCATTGAGCTTCATTGATGACAAACCTGGCGTGACTTATCACGATGTGCCGTATTTGTATTGTTCCGAACTATGGAGTCGGTTTGATTTTTAAAATGTTCTTTGAAAGACGTCTCTTATGCTCACCAATGCTGCATTTATTTGGTCAAAAATACAGTACAAACAGTAATCTTGTGAAATATTATTAGAATTTAAAATAGCTGTTTTCTATTTGGATATATTTTAAAAAGTAGGTTATTTATGTGATCAAAGCTGAATTTTCAGCATCATTACTCTAGTCTTCAGTGTCACATGATCCTTCAGAAATCACTCTAATATGCTGATTTGCTAATCAAGAAACATTATTATTGTCAGTTGCTGTTTTTTAGACTATATCATCAATTATTATTGTCTTTTTTCAGGATTCTTTTTATGAATAGAAAGTTCAAAAGAACAGCTATTTTATGAAATAGAAATCTTTTGTAACATTATAAATGTCTTTACTGCCACTTTTGATCAATTAAATGCATCATTTATGAATAAAAGTATTAATTTCTTGCAACTTTTGAATAGTAGTACATATGATAGCTGTCGTGGAAGACTTACAAGTATACAGTTGCGCAGGTCATATGGATATAAAAGTTCATCTCATTTTTCAAGTTTGACAGCATCTTCTTATTCACTGTCAATCCACAGAGAATGAAAGCTCATATGGGTTTTTATAAGAGTAAGAGAGTGAGTAAATTATTTAGTTTTTGGATGAACTAGGCCTTTATAATCTGGGACTCCCCATATTGAAGTGGCAGGTGTAAACAGTGTGGCTAGACTGATATATGAGAGCCAGAGAGATCAGCCTGAAGTCTTCAATCACAGCCAATCAAAGTGTCAAAGCACATAAATGTGTGATGCTTTTATTCCGTCTGATTCAGCTCTTCTATGAGAGAAAAGGCCCGTTCACACCAAGCACGATTACTATAAAGATAACGATAAAGATATAGTTCTAAAAATCGTTCTCAGTATTAAAGAATAGGATAGTTCACACCACAACTATAACGATAACGATACAGAGGAACGATATCGTTGTGATCACTTTCAAAACGATTTTTTTTTGCAGCTGATGAACCATAAAACACTGACAGCCAATCAGAATCCATCCTGCTGTAACGAGCTCAAGAATTTAAAGCGGCAGACACGCGTGCGCTTAGAATACACAGACGATATAATTCGCTGGTGTGGACGCTAATATCGTTATCTTTATAGTTATCGTTCTTGGTGTGAATGGGGCTAAAGGCACCACCCAACGCTAACAGCTGCAGAGAGTGAGGCCTCGAATCCATCAATCCTGAACTCTGATACAGAGACTTGCTGCGAGTAACGCCGGCTTTATTCATTAACTGCAAGCGACTGACGCAGCGTTTCTGGCGGAGCAGCTCCCTCTTTGCATGTCCCATTATCCTGCAGTCACTTTACGCCACTGAATGAATGTTCCAATTATATCTTCACCTAGAGCTTGTTTAAACACACACATCACCAGGTCTGGGTGCGAGAAACTAACAGGATGCAATGTTTCAGTATAACAGCAGAAGAGCAGCTGTGGCAGATCTATAATAGATGAGTAATGAGCTGCTAATACATCTTTGTCAGAAAGCCACTTAAGTTTAATAAAACTGATGTTACCTATCAGGCTCTAAAGTTGTGATCACAATCCTGCAAAGTCATTATCGGGCCCTTAGAAGGAGTCGCTTGACTTCAGGTGACTTCAGAGGGACTGTCCTTGTCAATAAAGGGGTAATATATTGGAAAACTGCCCTTCCCTTCATATCGTTTCAAACCTGTATGACAGGTTTAAAGTCAGTGGGGTTTTGGACCCCATTGACTTCCATTGTATAGACAAAAACAGTTCCACAGAAGAGTGAAGTAAGTATCAGTGGGGCTATTGTCGACTAAATCTACAAAAATAATTTTGTAATTGAAATAATCTTAAAAAATAAGGAAGTTTAAATTGAAGTCAGTGTTATGGTAGTTAACTAAAACTAAAAATGAAACTAAAATGAAGACTATATATTTAAAAAAAATTATTACTTGAAATTAACGTTAACTGAAATAAAATATAAAAAGTTTTTATTTCAGCTAGTTGCCAAGGCAGAATTTCTCATTTTAACTTAGTTTAACTTGATATACTAAAATAACTCAAACTAAAACTGAAATAAAAATCAGTAAGACTAGACAGACATATAGACAGACAAAAAAACTAAAATGACAAAAACATAAGCTACTAAAACTTTCAAATTAAAATGGAAAATATAAAAATAAAAAACTGATTCAAAATATTGTACTGAAGTACTAAAATGACAAACTAAAACTGAAATAAAAGTAAATTCAAGCTGTATATTTAACAAAAAGTAAATAAATAAAGCACTTAACAAAATGACTGAAACTTAAACAAATTAAATTGTTAATATAAAAATAAAAGAAATACTAAAAATAAATAAAACAAATAAAAATGTCAAAAGCACACAACAAAATTATTGAAATGTAAACAAAATTAATTTGCAAATATAAAAATAAAAGATAATCCAAAATATGAGTAAATACTATAATAGTATAGAAAAAAATACACTGAAAAGTATGGACAAAGACACATTTTTAAAACAATTGTTTCTACACAAGAAAGATGTCAAGCGTCACTTACAATTTCTTCTCAAAAATCTAGTTAACTGAACAGATAACTCTGATGTCACCATTATGACATCACAGCCCTTATCACATGACCGCTCACATTTACATATCCACACCGATACAGTGTGTAGCAGCTGCAGTCATGAACGATAGTATGTACTACATTGACAAGAAACATTGACTAACATACAATAACAAAAAGTGACAAATATGGCCTCTTTAATGTATTGTGGATAAACTGACAGGTCACCAGACTGTGTTAATGTGTGGTATCCATGCTAATCTGCTTCTGTTGGTTCAGGAACGGAGGCTGGACTCCCTGGTCATCCTGGGCCGAGTGCAGCACCAGCTGTGGCATTGGATTTGAGGTCCGACAGCGGTCCTGTAACAACCCAGCACCCCGACACGGAGGACGCGTATGTGTGGGTCAGGCACGAGAGGAGAGGTGATACGAGAGGATAGTTTTGATTTGATATGATTTTATAAAAAAAAGGCTCTTAAGAGTCATTCATCTGGGAGTCAGACTATGCTTTTAATTCACTACAGTTGAATCATAAATGTCAAGTGTTCAGGAATCGGTTGGACTACACTGAATTTGCTCTATGGTTTTGATTCACTAAAAAGAACCAACTTTTAAGAGTCATTTGTTTGATTGTCTAACTAAACTGACTCATAAGTGTGTAACCGTGCATCTCAATGTTCATACTACCCATCCTAAATAGTATGTGAGATTAGAATAAGTGTGTCCCAAAGCATAGTATGTTGAAAAGAGTATGCCAAAAGTCTACTATTTCAGGTCGATTTTTGAAGTGTGGATCCGTGCACACTCTAATGGCTAAAGTTGCCCACAATGCATTGCGCTTTGGCGAAGAATTCGGTCAAGAACTACAAACACGAGTAAAACGCATTAGAACTACAAACGTGGTGGATGCGCGTGATCGACGGTTAGGTAGAGAGGCTTTGAAAAAAGGGTTTGAGTTACTAATAATCAACATTTAACTTGGTAAAAAATATTTATTTATTGTTATCCGTGTTATATTTCATCTGCAACAGCAATGTGAACTTTTATAAACATACATTTGGTCATTAACTTTTAAATGCATCATTATGCAGAAAATATGAGCAGAGTTCTCGCATGAAAGACCCGCGACTGGCAGATCAACGAGCTACTTCTTTTCTCTCCAGTACAGTAGGAAGTTAAATGAAATGAAATATGGAGGATGTTAACTGTGACAAGAAGTTTGACAGGCCAGTTAACAGTGACAGGGTGCGTGTAACAGGTTAAAGACGCAGTTGTGTGACGTGATAGTATGTCCCAAAGCTTGCCTACTCTTCTACTACACACTCAAAGGTGTGTACTTTTTCTTCACCAAAAGAGTACATACTTTAAGGGCGTAGTATAAGTAGGCACACTGAGATGCAGCATAAGTGTTTATTTGAGCTGACTGGAAGATGATTCGGTTTCATCTGTGTGTGTGATTCAGATTGTGTAACGAAAAGAATCCATGTCCTGTTCCGGTGTCCTGGGTCTCCTGGAGCGCTTGGTCCAAATGTAGTGTTCCCTGCGGTGGTGGAGTTCAATCCCGTGTTCGAACCTGCGAGAATGGAAACACATGTCCTGGTTGCCCTCTGGTAGGGTCTTAAACTGGTCATATAAAATAAAATAAAAAAACCCTAATATCGGAAAAAGTTTTGAAAACCATGTGTGTTACTGTATCCAGGAGTATAAGGCGTGTAACTTGGACCCGTGTGCCGAAGTGAGGCGGACCACACCGTGGACACCCTGGTACCCTGTTAATGTGACTCAGATGGGGGCGAGACAGGAGCAGCGGGTCAGGTACACCTGCAGGGCTCTCCTCGCCGACCCTCACGACCTGCAGCTCGGCAAACGCAAGATAGAGACTCGCCTCTGTCCCACCAGTGATGGAGCTGCTGCCTGCGAGACTGATGGTACACACACACACAGCCTCAGAGGCACATACTCAAATATGCACACATCCTGTTTAAGATGGGGCGGCACGATTTTGGGGGAACAATCTAATTGCTGTTTTCTGATCAAATTTGCGATTAAAATGTGATTTGAAAAACACCTCTATGTTTGCTATGCTTGTTTGTCGGTACAATTTGGCCCGAATTGTTGTAATTATAAATCAATAGATTTATAAAATAATAATAATAATAATCTTTTATTTTTATTTAGTAGTAATAATAATAATAATAATAATAATAATTATTATTATTATTATTAACAAATAAAATATTAAACATAATAAGAATTCATTATTATTATTATTATTAAATAAAAATACTAAAAATATACCACTATTATTTTCATTTAGTAGTAGTAATAATAATAATAATTATTATTTTACTAGATAAAAATATAAAAAAATAAGAATTATTATTTAGTAGTAGTATATTAATATGAATATATTTGTTTAATTAAATTATTATTATTGTTGTTGTTAAATATAAATATTAAACAAAATAGGAAATATTACTGTTGAATATTTCCCTGTAAAATAAAAAAAATTGTATTTAAGTAAATTGTATTTTACAGTACAACTGTAGAATTACAATACTAATATTTATGGCTGGTTTAATTTCCTAATTTTCAAACATTTAACCATCACACTTTTATTTTGACAGAACACCACAGGGAGCCTGTAAAGCTTCACTTTTGTTGACAGCAGCTGGTTAATAAGCGCTTCTCATTACAAGTATGGGTAGATGGTTGCCACGTGTTGCATTCCTAAATGCATAAATGACCTAAACTCAGATCAGATGCAGAGATGAAGTTTGTGTGGAGCGACATTTACATGTGAATCACGCCACTTTGAGACACTGAAAGCACTGTATCATGAGCTGCTCGTGTGTAAATAAACACAGTGCTGCTCTTCACTTTAAAACGCACCATGCATATATTTATGTAACGAAATCGCAGCCTTGATAATTGCACTAATCCATATTGTGCAGCCCTACTTAAATGCACACTTTTATATTTGTATAGGTCTAGTTGAGGATTTGATGAGAATGGGTCGACCTGTGACACAAGTGCAAGGAGCCGCCTGGTCGTCATGGGAAACGTGGTCCGCATGTTCCAAAGAGTGTTCCAAAGGCTTCCGCACACGCAAGCGCTCCTGCGCCACACCGGATGGCAAGAGCACGCCGTTCGCCTGCAGCGGAGCGCCGGTCGAGTATCAGGGCTGCAACACTCAGCCGTGCCTAGGTCTGAGAGTGCTTTGTATACTTTTAAGTATGTCACTCATGTCCTGTTAATGGAGTAGTGTAATAACAGGTGTTGTTTTTCAGTGAAGGGGGCGTGGTCATGCTGGTCTTCCTGGTCTCAGTGTTCTACTTCCTGTGGTGGCGGTCACAACCAGCGCTCCCGTACCTGCTCTAACCCTTCCCCTGCTCATTCTGGAGACATCTGCATCGGCCTGCACACAGAGGAAGCGCTCTGTAACACACACGAGTGTGAAGGTGAGAAAAAACTTGCAGCATTAAAAGAATATTGTTTTTTTAAAGGGGAGGTCTAATGCTATTTCATGCATTCTGACTATTTACACTGTGAACGAGTTGGATTCTCATGCTAAACGTCAAAAAATGATTTGGACGTATGACGGAGTACAAATACACTCCTTCAGGGTTCGTATAAGTTATGGAAAGTTTTTTTCGAGTATGGCTCTGTATGACGTCATAAAGGTCAGAATTCCTTGTATGGGCCGGAAGAGTGCGCACACACAACCAGAGCGAGAGCAAGAGCAGCCCATCTACATGTTTCATTCGGGTTACGGGAGTCGTCGGCACAGGACTTGCTTGAGAAAAATGTCTTCAAAGACGTGAACAGTGGATGCAGTTTGTTTTTTCGGTGCAGCAGCGGAGTTGCTCAAATGTGTTTGTTTGTTCCCGTCATTTCGGTGACGAAAGTTTTATAAACAAGACCCAGTTCGACGCTGGATTTCAGACGGGGGATCAGATTCTGGATCAAATATGTATGGCAGGATCTGATTGTTAACCATATTTAATTTAGGCCCCGTCCACACGGAGACGTGTTTAGCTGTATACGCATAAATGTTGTATCGTATAGGCGTTTCGTCCACACGAATCCAGCGTTTTGGGAGAGTGAAACCGATATTTTTTTTAAACCGGGTCCCAGAGTGGATAAATCTGAAAATGCCACCCTTGCGTTTTCGTGTGGACAGCGAATCCGTATATTTTCTGAAACGATGACGTCATCAGCCCACGTCTCGCCCCTAGTCAGACACCGCAACGTCACGTAACAGCAACAAAAACATGAACAAACACCGAATGATTGTCTTTTTATTAACTAACATTAACATAGATTAATAAATGTATTGTTCCATGTTTGTTTGTATACCGCGCGCAAGGTTTATGCGCACAGTCCAAGTCTTCTTCTCCATTTTTTGTGTATCTCTGTGGCAGAATTACAGCGCCACATACTGGTCTGGCATGTATACTACATCGTTTTGTGTCGGTTTCGTGGTTTCGTGTGGATATTTCTTGAGACGGGGGGAAAAAAAAGATTGGATAGGGAAAGCTCTGGCTTCGTGTGGACGTAGCCTAAGACTATTATGTTTTTTTGTTCCCGTTTTATTTATGTCGATGTCACAACTTGTAGACGATCGCTACTCAAAAGCTGCGTGTGCTCGTGACTCTTTAGCTCCGCCCACGGCATGCCTGCAGTAGCTCGACTGTTTTCAGCTACAGATGTAGCATATTTCATTAGTTTATTTTTGTATTTTTACTAATGGCAAAACCCCTAATGTGCATCTGTGTTTGATTTAATAAAAAGAACCGGCTCATAAGAGTAATTCGATTGGGAATCGATTGAACTGTAGCAGTTGTTTTGAATGTGACTGATTCACTAAGAATAACTGGTTCATAAGAGTCATTCATTCTGGAATTGGTTGAACTACACTAGTTGTACTGAATGTGTTTGGTTCACTAAATATAACTGGTTCATAAGAGTCATTTATTTGGGAATTGGTTGAACTGTACCAGTTATACTCTGTGTTTGATTCACTGGTTCATAAGGGTAATTCATTCAGAAATCAGTTTAACCCTAACAGTTGGAACAGTACTGTATTTGTTTGATTCACTAAGAATAACTGGCTCATAAGGCTCATTCAGTCAGGAATTGGTTGGTCTAGTTAATCCGTATATGTTTGATTCGCTTAAAATAACCTGTTCATAAGAGTAATTTGTTTGAAAATTGTGCTAAATGCTTTTAATTCACTAAGAGAACTAAAAGAGTATTTTTTTTCAGGAAACAATGGTTTTGGTTTTGATTCACTAAAAAGAATCAATTATTCCGAGTCATTTGTTCGGAAGACTAACCACACTGGTTCTTTATTTGAATTACTACAAACAAAACAGCTTAAAAGAGTCATTCATTAGGGAATAGAGTACACAATATGTTATACACAATACAGTAGTTTCACTGTATGTTTTTGATACACTAAGAAGAACCGATTCACTCGTTTGTGAATCTGTTGGATTGGGACAGAAATCCCCCACTTTCCCTTTAAATACTCTGCATGACTGTGTTAATGATAAGTAATGATAACACAATTGTGAAATCTGTGTTTGCTTATCTTGCTCACCTGTGTCAGGTGGGTGGGGGGCGTGGTCAGAGTGGGCGGAGTGTAACGAGGAGGGGCTGCAGCTCAGGACTCGTACATGTGAAATAAGCTCCGCCTCTTGCCAAGGAAACTCCACAGATCAGAGACGGTGTCGACCCAATGAGAGCGCAGGTTAGTTAATTTCCCTCTTTTTTTGTTTGTTTCTTTCTGGCATCTCAGACTACAGCGTTGTTTCACATGCACATCTTCATTTTGTGTCTAGTGCTGTCAAAGGGGCAGAAGAGGAGCACAAACTGTGGAGGTAAATCTGACTTACATCATCCAGCATTCAGGTTTTGATGTGTCTAATGACCCTAGTGAAACATTTCTTTCTGTTTTGTCTCCTGCAGGGTTTTCTCTGTTCCATTTGGTGCTGACTGGAGCGTGTTGTTTTCTGGGAGCTGTTTTGTTGTCCATCCTGGTGTATGTGTACTGCCAGAGACTCCGCAAACCCCCTCAGGAATCCGCAGTTATCCATCCCAGCACCCCCAACCACCTACACTATAAAGAGAACAGCTGTGCACCCAAGAATGACCTATACACACCCATGGAGTTCAAGGTATCCCATCATGCCACAGTGTTCTCTCTGTATTACACTTGTGCAGTGGTCCTTAACTGGTGGGTTGCAGCCACAACACTGATAAGTGCAGATAATAAAAAGCACTTAATCATATAATCATGTATTGTTAATATAGAGAAATAAATAGGCTTTAACTTTTAAAGGGAAGGAGAAAACAATTCCTACAATTCAAGAAACCAAGAAACCAAAATAGTCATTATTAATTGTGCAAATTGTTTGGCCTATGCAGTTCATGATTATTTTATTTTATTTTTTAAATATGTTAATGTATTATTAATACATAATATATACTATTGTTATATATTCTAAATATAATATATGAATTCATATTATTTGTTTAATGAATAATTCTGGTCTTGGTGCAGCTGAGACTGACAACACTCAATTGTTTGATTTTAAAAACATTATTATTTGTTATTTTTTAAAATAATTGTTATTTATATTATATTTTTAAAATAATAAATAATAATTAAATAATAATAATAATGATTAAATATATAATATTAAATATTATGTATGTTTTAATAAATATATAGTATATAATTATTTAATAATAATAATAATAATAATTGTTATTATTATTTCATTATTATTTTTTACTTTTCACTAAATAATTCTTGTCTTGTGTTGGGATCTCTTGACATCTTTTATGAAATGAAGGTCTGAAGCAGTTGAGAATCACGACTCTCTAATCTGTCTCAAAGGAAACGGCTCTCGTTCCTTCAATCCGTCTTATTCTATCATTCCTCATTTTTCAGTTCCCTCTCTTCCCTCAGAGCGTTGACATCACAGGGCCGCTGCAGCATGATGCAAAACACGCTGTGGCCTTTGAAATATTGAAGAGACTTTCGACATCTCGTGTGCTCACCTTTTGTGCTTTCTCTCTGTTCCCCGCAGACTCTGAATAAGAACAACCTGCTTCCACCAGACGAAAGCTGCAACTTCTTCCCATCAGCGTTACCGCAGACCAACGTCTACGCCACCACATATTACCCGTCTCCTCTGGGCAAATATGACTTCCCTTCCATGGATTCACCCTGCAGCTACATGCACAGCTGATGCATGGACACACATCTCATGCTTTCTTAGGGCTGTGTGACCACGGTTCCACTCCCTCATCCCTCCATGCAGATGCATTGGCTGAGCGCATAATCTGCATCTCAAAAGACGCAGGAAAATGCAAAGGAGTGATGTTCGGATAAGATGGGCCCATGTAGTTTCCTTGTAGCATTTCCTTTCCTAAATGTCATCTCGAACTGGAAGTCACGGGTTCAGCTGATCACATGTCGTATTAACTACAAACTGACTCTCACAAAGCATGCACACTTCTTACAATGCAAAGGAGCAAGAGGAATTCTGGGGAATTCTCGAAACTGAATTGTGACGTACTACTTTATGTGCTGGCGTCATAATCGAAAAACTGCAATGCAGAACTCGCTTTGAGTCGATTAAGCATGAAGGCTTACAGACAGCTGCGACGTCTCACAGTAAGCCCAAACATCTGTTTCCCTTATTTGATCTTGGTTTACTTCTTTTTCTGCTCCAGAACTCCAAGAACTACAAAGATGTGAGATACATGGAATCAGGATTACCGGTAATGTGACTGGTTAGCATCAGTGATGTATGGATGAACTCATAAAAGAGACTGTTATCTTCAGTGTCCAATAAAAGACCTGCGCTCATGGATATATGGCCGTCCACACACTGTTACACATATGGCTGTGGATTTGTCCGTCAAGACACTTTTTAAAAGGAAAGTTCACCAAATATGACAGTTCTGTCATCATTTACTCACTCTTATGTCATTACATACATTTATGACTTTATTTCCAAAGGCAAAACACCACATGTGAATATGGTAAAAAAAACAACATTCTAATAGATATCACCATATTTGCCCAGTTGATTAATACAGTGCATTAAGATAGCTGTTGTGTATTACAAGCTTTCTGAAATGTTGTTTATATATGCAAATGATGCATTATCTAATTAAATATGCAGTCATTTGCATACACGTCAAGAACAGAAATCTGAACATTGGATTTCTTGTTTCATTTTGTTGACCTATTAGAGATTTTGGAGATCTTTATCAAAAAAATGCACCATATGTTTAGGAATAAAATGTTCTATGAATCAGATGAATGATATATGAACAAACCAAATGTGTAAAAACTTTCAGGATACAGATGGAAATCAAACTAAAGTTTAGTCTAAGTTGAGAGAACTGTCTTTAAAGATATGTATTGCAATTGAAATCTACAGACATAAGTTGATAAAATGTAATAAAATAAACACTTAAATGTTTATTTGGGATGTTTTCTTTCCATTAGTCTGAAAGAAGACAAGTTATGGAAACAGAATAGCCCAAGTTTTAATTTACCAGTGCATCAAAATGTCACATTCTGTTAAACTCTTTTTCACAAGTAATGATATGAAGATGAGTAAATAATGACAAGATATATACATTTTGATCAATGAATCGTTTCAAATGAATTGTGACTGAAACATGGCAGTATGAAATAACTCGGTGTGAGTTTTATTGAATCTAAAGGGATGTACGTTTGTGTGTATATATGTAGCTGGCATTATATATTTATACACAAATTCGGATTTTTATTTTTGATGGAATCAGGTATTTTTTTCCTCATAACTCCACAGTGAACATACAACAATGAAAGTAGTAACTTGTCTTCAGAACCCTAAGAGTGCTCAGATTTACTCTTCTTTCTTACGTATGACTATTTCATTTTTTTCTATCTGGCATCGTGTGTACAGTACGTGTTAAATGACAATATGTTTTATGAAATATTTGACGTTAATTCTTTCCAATGAGCCCAATGCAAGATGCAAACAGTCTGGTTGGATGTTGAATATGGCATTGGAAGCGGCCGCGGTCGTGTGCTGGAGCTGGACGCTTGCTGATGACGCTTTTGTACACTGATGTTGCATGGATGCTCTATTATCTGAATACAGACAGTTTTCTATGCAATAAAAAAAAAAGAAAATGATTTTCCAACATATGATCACTGCCTTTATACACTAAACTTTTTGCTAGGTTTTTATATGTTGTACATTGTAAAAATAAATATCCAGCTGGGTGTCAAAACACCACAGTTTACTTTCCTGTCAAGACCATCCATCCATCCATCCATCGTGTTGATATGAGCTGTTGTGTGTTCAGTGTGAAGGATTGTCCAGCGCAGGGGAAGTTTAATATCTCTGGTCATTAGCGGTACTGTAAAGTAGATTACAGTGTGACTGTGTTCTCTCGTGCACGTCGTGTCCTCGAGGCCGAGCCTGCAGACGTGTATTTAAAGTCTTCACTTCGCTCCATGTGATGAATGATGTTTGCGGTTCTAACAGTGGGTAAGTGATATAGCTTTTTAATGAGCTGTTTGCTGTTTAGAGGTTTTCCTCTCTAATGGGAGGAAACTAACCATTACCCAGCAGCTGGAGAGAGTTATCAGAGCAGACGGGCTATTTGAACTCAGACCTGCTGTGGCCTCCAGACACACCACTAATGAAAGCTGCTCAGAGGATATTCCTCCTGAAGTAACACTCACACATGCAGCAGAGAGCATTTATCTGCACTCTCAGAAAAAAAAAAAGTCTAATAATGGTACCTTTAGGGGAACAACAGCTTGTCAGTGGGGCAGTCCTCTCAAAGGGCCATCTTTATACCTTGTTTACCCCTAAAGGGTTCATAATATTACCATACGAGTACATATTGCTACTCCAAGGTAGTAATATGCACCCTTTAGGGATAAAGAAGGTACAACGATCCCTTTGAGGAGACCGGCCAACAGACAAACTGTTGCACCTCTAACATTGGGTAGGTAAAAAAATAAAATCAAAATCCTGTCTTTGCCATAAAATCGATGTTTTTTTTTTTTTTTGCATTGTTCATTGAAATTAAATAAATTTCCCCCAAAATTCGTATTACAGTAATGTGTCCAGACTTTTGAGCTTTTTTGTAATTCTCATTATTCCCAATTGTGATTAGATTATCAGTACCGTAAAAAAATGTTGCTATGTAAAATTTGATGTAAAACAATAAAAGCAGTTTTTTGAATTTGAATGAATTTTTTAAATCATGCAAATGTAATCAGTTATATTAAAATGTTAATTTAAATAGCATCTTAATATAGTTTAATAAATTAATATTATTTAATTTCATTTGTATTTTTATCACATTAAAATTGCAATACTACATTATTATTATAATAAAAAAAATAAAAGAAAATATACAGCATAGATTTGGAATGTTTATTTTGGGGTGAACTATCACTTTAACAAGGTGACTTGCAGAATACTGCACAGATTGTGTTTGTGATGCATTCTTAAAGGTCCCCGTTACTCTATGAGTTGACGTCATTTGAACTGAAACACAAAGACAGGGCGGGACATATCAAGCAGCCCCGCCCCCTTTTTAAAATAGCCAATAGCGTTCGTTTATATCACAGCTTGGGCTAGAGCCGTTGAGCTCCGTAAAGCCACATTTGACAGGGTATGCCAGCCACAATCTCATCCATATTGCTATAAAATATAGCATTCTGTGTAGAACTCAAATAGCTCCGATACATTTTGTGGTCTGCGCCGACTCGCACATGTGATCCGCTCCGTGCTATCGTGTCTCTGGACCGGAGCAGAGTGTGTGTGCGGTGCGGTGGTTAGCGGGACACAGCGCCAAACCAGACTTCTTCTTTTCCTCAATGGAAAGCATATTTACACTGTTTGAATCGTTCCCCGTCCACTAAATAGTGCACTACGTGCCATTCACTGTACAGAAAATACTCATTCTGTGGAAAAGTGACCGATTTCAGCATCTATTTTATAGTGTAGGGGGCGGGCGCTTCGGATTCTAGAGAGCATTTGATTGGACAGAAAGTTTGATGAGAAGCTGAAGTACGATGTGACGTCAAAACAATCGTTGAGTCGTTTTGGCGGAAGTGACGAACTGCAAGCTTTGAATGCTTATATCTTCTAAATGCGAATTTAGTCACGGTTTTGGAGCACACTGCCTTATAGATAACCTTAAGACTAACATATTGATACTAACACCCAAAATGGGGTTATGGGGACTTTAAGTGAGCAGCAGGATAACTGTCTTTTAGTAAAAAAAAAAAAAAGCACACTTCATACGAGCTACAGCTGCAATCCAGTCCAAAGTCAATTCATAATTTAAGAAGCTTCACTGGCTTTTTGCCCAGGAGTCAATGACTGTGACCTTCTGCAGATGTCGAGGTGGATTGGCAGAGATCTGGAGATGATGAGGAACTCACTTAAAATGGTTCAATCGGCTTGTGCATTTCAGAGTCTCTGACATGAAAGCGAGACGAAATACCGGCCAGTTCTTGATATCTGAGGAGGGGTGATGCTGGATTTTTGGAGCCTGTTATGTAGAAATCAGCTGCGATGGTCACAAATGTGTGGATGATTGAACACAGATGAGATGTTTTGGAGCCACAGCCGTCAGCTTGACATGCACCACCCAAACACCACACTCACTCGAAGAAGAAACTTCTCAAGAACATCATGCGGATTCTAAGAAATGAGGGTTGTACTGCCAGACTTGATTTCTACAGATGTAGTACACACACACCCATGATGCTGGTGTGAGTAAAGACATCTTTTAGAGGTTATGAAAGTCCCTGAAGGACGCGTCCAGCTTGATTTCATCAGCGTCAGTGAGCAGACGGACAAAAACCAGAGTGAAACACACTCACAAACACAAACACTGGAATGAAAGATCTCTGCGCAGAGACTATTGCCTCTTCTACTGAACAGAGATATACAGGCTCATTGTTTACTGATTCATTTGTTTTCATTTCGTTCTGTGATGTGTAGTTTGTTAAAAGAGTAAATGGATGGGATACATTTCAGAGCTCTTATTAATAGCTTTGGAATTCAATTTAGACTTATTACTGGGCCGATCAGAAGCGCTTCATGATCATTTATCATCACACATAAACACAAAGAGACTGTGTGTTTGCGCCTCAAATTTTCAAAAGCACAATTCAAGAGAAGCATGGTGAATTTAGGTAATCAGAGACACTTTTTTATCATTGTGCTGAATGGTAAAAAGTTGCCACGTTTACCTGAATTTACCCTATGGTTCATAACCAATAAATTAGCATATTAAACACAGTAAAATTAGTCAGGTGAGGTGCATAGAACATTACTTAAATAAGATTCTGTAAAATCCTGTTTTGTAAAATCACTGTGAAAAGTCTTTGTTACATTTACAGAAAAAAAATGTTTTTGTCTTACAGAAATGTACTGTAAAAAATTAGGAAACAAAACTTTTTCATTTATTTGTATATATATATTTTATTTTTAAATAAAGTATAATCAAAGCAATCACCCTTTGAAAGGTAAATAATACTTTTTCTGTATAAAATCTATTATTTAATATTATAAACAGCATAATTTTACTGTAAAATAAAATATACTATTAATAATATTATATTAGGAAAAATTAACTATTAGAAAATATGAACAAAAATATTTGCTGGGAAATCTTGTTAAATCTAAAAAAAAAAAAAAACTGTACCATTTGTAATTGTAACATTTGATATTGTTTTTCTTCTGTAGAATAGAAATTGTACTCTACTCATAAAATACATAATCTAGAGCGACACGAAGCCAAAATATGTTTAATAGGTTACATATATTTCATTAAAGTCGTTAATAAATGTCTGACTTCACCATGTTGTTTAAAACACCTCTCAGGCGTGACTTCTAATGAGATGTTTTTGTTCTTTCTCAAATCAAGCCTTTCAAAAACATGCGTTCTACTGTAGATTCCTACACTCTAAAAAATGCTGGGTTAAATACAGCCCAGTGCTGGGTAAAATAGGGACAAACCCAGCAATTGGGTTGTTTTGACCCAGCGTTTGGTTAAATGTTTAACACAACCTTCTGGTCGTTAATAAATGTGTGACTTCACCATGTTGTTTAAAACACCTCTCAGGCGTGACTTCTAATGAGATGTTTTTGTTCTTTCTCAAATCAAGCCTTTCAAAAACATGCGTTCTACTGCAGATTCCTACACTCTAAAAAATGCTGGGTTAAATACAACCCAATGCTGGGGAA